TTTCTTTGGCCAGTTTGGCTGTGCCCCCTCCCAGCTTCTTGTGCCCCTCCAGCCTTCTCAGTCGGTAGAGCATGGGAAACTAAAAAGTCCTTGGCTAGCATAAGCATTACCTAGCAGCAACTAAAACATCCCTGCGTTACCAACTTTGTTCTCATCCTAAATCCAAAACACAGCACTGTACCAGCTACTAGGAAGGAAATTAACTCTATCCCTGCCGAAACCAGGACATAAGTTCTTTTGAGAATTTAACAAGATTATACATATGGAATATTTAAAAGACCTGTTTTCTCATTGGAAAATCCAACTGTAATAGGCCTACATTTTTTTCACACTCATTATTAGAAGAAATCAAGTGTGCATACTCCCAATCAGCTTACGAAACCAGGACATAAGTTCTTTTGAGAATTTAACAAGATTATACATATGGAATATTTAAAAGACCTGTTTTCTCATTGGAAAATCCAACTGTAATAGGCCTACATTTTTTTCACACTCATTATTAGAAGAAATCAAGTGTGCATACTCCCAATCAGCTTATAATGTAATCTTCTAAGTTGTTTATGCAAAACCTGAGCATATAAGGAGGACAAAAAAGAATATTGAAATCATGCTTATGCAAGGAACCTGAAAAATGACGTTACTGGATACAACCACAGATAAATAAAAATACAGATTTCAGTGGCTGAAAGATGGCTAAAAGAAATGGATTTGAAATGCATTTGGTACCAGAATGAAGACAGACACTTTGCTTACTTGTAAGGTCATTTCATACAGAAAAAATGGCAAGATTTAAGTTTAAAATAAAGAACTGATTCTTTTGTAATACATTGCCTACATACTGAAATGTCAGTATCATATTTACTCGTATAACTGTGATACATAAGCACACATTTTAAACCAAGAAAATATTTAGATACTACTTTCTGTCTTGTAGGGAAGAAGGTGGCAGTTGCAGAGAGAACAATCCCACCTGCAGAACCTGTTGAATCAGTGCTTTGTGGCAGCTTAGCCATTGGGGGAGCATCACTTGCTATAGCTAAGGCTGGTGCCACCATTAGCCGTATCCCATTGTACTTACATATTGCACTGCTGAAATGTAATCAGGTACATCTGACTTTTGTCATTTTGTTTATTTTATCCCAGTTATCACAATTATTCTAGAATTCTGAAGCCAATAGTCCCTCGTGACCGTGGTATTAAATATACCGTGTAGAATACACCCTTAAGACGATTGTCTGTAGCAGTCTTTGAACCCTGTGCCATAAGTAAAATATATAAGAAATCATTCTGATTTTTAACATTTTTATTTTCACGTGGTACTCCCAATTACAGGATTCACCTAAAGAAATTACTCTGCCACTCCCAATGGTTACTCTGTTGAACTGTGAAAAAATTTCACCTTCAAAACTGAAATTAGTGAAAGAAGTTATGCTTATACCACCAGTTCAGTTATCACTCAAACAGGTACTGTTTCATTTCAATTTTTATAAATATATTCTATAGACTTTATATAAACTATATATGTACATAAGTATATAGATCTTTTCAATATAGTCCTTACAAACTGTATTTTTCATGTTTTGTTTACTTGCAAGGCCAAAGTTTTAACAAATGTTAGTGCAGAATTCTAACACCAGGAACATTAAAAGAAGTAAATAGATGAAGATTTAAAAGAAGATACATGAAGATTTCAAGTTTAAAATGCATACGTTAGTGTAGAGGAAAAAATCAGTTCATTGAAGAAGATGTAGGGGAATCGTGTTACACCACAATAAGATATTTTCATTTTGTTTAGAATGTGATTTTACATTAGTAGATTATAAATAGTATCAGTTGATTGATAGAGCATACAAAACAACAAAACTCATAATGAATTCACAGGAAAGCATAAAATCTTCGGGAATAAATTGCTTTAAAAATGAAATTGTGAAGATAGAAGGGAATAGAAGACAAAGTAGAACAAAATCTATTCAAGGGGCAAGAAGGATGGATGAGACAGGCTGGATCAACCCTCTCTTTTTGTTTAGCCATGTGTTGCGTTAAAGATATCTGCACAAGATGCCTACATTAGGGCTGTGTTTTCTACTTTGTATGCTGCTGACCTGGACAAATAGCTGAGCTCGATTATCTTTCTTTTTCCTTTTCCTTTAACTTTTTAGAACTGGCACCAAGAGCTCTTAATAAGGTTGCTAATTCTGTACCTTTCAAAGACATAATGCCTCTTAGTGCTCATGGGAGAGCAGCAAACTGTTTGCTGCAGTGCAAAAAAGGTAGCCATTCGTCCTGTGTTGATGTGTTGCAAGCTGTGACTGACTTCTGCCCCCTTCAGTATTCCTTTACTGGCACAGTTTAAGAAAATCTGAAATGTGATTTACGAACTTGGCACTAAACTTCTACTAACTCAGCTGAAAAGGAAAAGAGTCTTGCGTAAAAGCAATTGATTCATTTAATTGGAGTGTTCCTCCATTCCCTAATGTTTAAAATTAAGACAGTGATTTTTTCTCGGCTTCCTGGAAATGTTCTAAAGGTAAATACATTTAATTTTGTCCGGCTTTCGAGTTAGGAAGTCTTAGATAGAGCCACAATTGTGAACAGTGATTATAATCTTCCCACTTCTCGGATATTGCGCAGACCCAGATATTGCTTACTTGTTAGATTTAGGAAGGGTTCCTTTTGGGGAAGAAGAGGCTATTTTTCTTGCCATCCCATTCAACAGCATAATCAAATATTCCTGTTCATTCCACTGCTACAAACCCTTTATCATTGGACACTTGACTGCATTTTGTGGGTGGGGGGATTGTGTTAAGGAAGTCTATAATAGTTTTTTTTAAAAAAGATGTAATATTAAGATGTGCATTTAGAATAAGTGTTCTCTTCTGATTTAAGCTGCTAAAATGAAATAATTTATCTTTCTTTTGAAGATTACTGTTGTTTAATTTCAGGGCATAGAAAGAGTTCTGGATATTCAGAAGGAAATGATGAGACTGTTGGAGCCTCCAGGCAAAGCGGTACAATAAAAATGTGTAATAATAATGTGCTGTACTTCATTTGGTCATTCTACTGCTATTGTCTTTTTAAGCTTAAACATGGAACGTTTAGCCTGTTACCAGGTTTAGTCTTATGGCACAGAATAGAAGATGTGTTTCTCTGACAGATGAATAAAACATTGGCCATTTGGTGATATTAAATTAATGAAGATAGAATAAAACATTGTTCTAAGCATAGTGAGACTTTCTGTTTACCTGAAGAAGTATACTGGGAGTGAATGGTATCACAGTGAATATGCAATATATGGCTCTGATCTTGCTAAGGCTCACACACACGCAACATGTATTATTCAAGGTGCTATTACTGTAGTAGTATATCAGTCTCAGTATGTGCATATGCTTTTTGCAAAGCAAGGTTGTTGGGTTTCTCCAAGTACAGAGTCTAGATTCTCATTTCTAAGATCCCCTGTATTATTGATAGGCTAGGTGGGAATCTTTTGAAAAACAAATGGTGGTTGGGGTGATGCCCACATAGAAATAAATATTTGAAATGAGTTACCACCACAAAATAAAACTGGATAGTTGCTGATAGTATTCAAGACAAAACAGAAGCTATTTCCTAACTTAAATATTTGCAATGTCTTTAGACCAAAATTCAGTCAACTTTTTTTTTCTTTTTTTATTCTGAAGTCTCTGTGTCATTTTTGGACTTTTCCATGGAACTGATTTCTTTCTTCTTTCACTCCCAACAGCCCAGTCCTCAACTAGCAGATAGTAAGAAAGGCAGAGCACATAATACCGGGAAGAAAGCTCCGGTAAGAGAAGAGATTTTCATTTTAAGCCTTCAGCAAGGTATTAACAACAGTAGGGAATCAAAACGTTCTTAAGAAATGAAACATTAATCTACATTACCATTTTGGAAGGGTCAAGGCAAGACTTTTAAATATTCCAAATGCTCATATTTTACATAATAATTTGGATTCTTCTGACTACACCTTCCCATCCTGTGGAACAATAACAGAAAGGAGAAATTCTTCTGGAATCTGGTCATTTTTGTCATATAGAAATCCTGGTAAACTATCCAAATGAGCATTTTGCAGGCCTGTAGCACCAGCAGAGATCATGCCCTTTTGATCATGTAGGCCATAAAACTATTACCTGTAAGACTTGCGTATTGTGCTGTTTCCTAACTCTGGGAGCATAACTCCCCTCTTAATCATGCTGTATTAAGTTCCCAGTTCCTGTTTGAGGTTATAGACAATGGCAGATACGAACCAGTAGCTAAAGGACAGCACTCACAATAGTGCGCGGGACATTATTTTATATGACTCAAATGATCTTTTTTTATCACTTCGAAACCTGTAGTTGATAGGTGAGTTTTCCAAATAGTGGGATGGAAATGCCATGCTGGTTTTGCTCTCCATTCTGAGATGATCAAAATATTATCAGGTGAGAATTGTTGCTGTTGTAGAGTATACAAAAGAGAGGATGAACGGAAGTTTTCCTATTTTTTTGTTGCTTGAACTACACAAAATTTGTCATCATTAATCAGCTGGCCAGTGTTTTTCTGGTGGGTAATTTTCGTATTCTTAGCACAATAGGTACTGCAGTCACAGGTTAAAATAATTTCTTAAGATATACACAAGGAAGCAATGCATTAGATTCTCTGAAAAAATTCCATTTATTTCAAAAGGAGAAAACGAAAGGAGATAGTAGTGGGACTGAATTTTAAACTGATAAAAGCACCATGTCAGTTTGAACTTTTTTTTTGGGGGGAAAGGAAAAATGAAAAAGTAGGCAGTGAAAAAGAAGCAGAAGAAGAACTTGTTTAGGTTATAGAAGTAAAGACTAGACAGAAATTAATGTTTTTGTAAAGATAAACAATGCTTTTAATAGAATGTAACAAGGCACACCATATGGGTGCCTTGAAAATCACATGAAAACGGAGACTTAAGCTCTATCTCATGTTAAATGCGGGAAGACTGCAGCATTTCTTACTGTCTATAGCTGCACCTTAGTGCTCCAAAAGCAACAAATCAAATAGATTGTCTCTCCTTGCAGATTGCTACAAAATAATGTCGTAACAATTTGACCTGTGTTTTCTTCCTAATTTTTTATGTGAAGGAACATCCATATATCCTCTGTAGTTAGGTCTCTGTTCTGTCCGCTGTAGTTAGTTCTCTAACTCTTGTCAAAACCAATGCCTTCCAATTGACTTCTTCAGTCTAACCCAGGATTATATCTTGCTGCTTTCTGGGAAACTTGGTGTCATTCTTTATAATCCAAAATTCACAGACTTTAAAGTTAAAAATCAGTGTTTGAAAAACCTACAAAAAACCTGGCAACAGAAGGACACGTGAAATATTTGCTCAATGCAACTCTGCTTGTGGCTCGTGTCCAGGAACACTGTTCCTGAGGCAGACAACTCCATGCAGTTGTGCTACAGGTATTTCCCCTCTGTGAAATTTGTTCCTTCTAGAAGTCTTGGAAGATTCTCGTGTTTCTTGAACATTCCATAGAGGCAATATCAAAGTTGTAGTTGAAGATAAATGAGTAAAAACTGTTTAAAAGTGGAGAATATGTTTTTGCGGCAAAGGGATAGTCCACAGCACCGGAAGCTTTTATTTCGCGTCCATGACAACTCTGGTTGTTAAGAGTGCCTTTAAAATCTTTTTGTAAACCAGTACTGGCAATATAAGAGCGAGAACTACATGACTAGACATATTTCCAAGGACTGTTAGCTCTCTACTCATTAGCACTTGGTTACCCCTCATTCATACAGAGTTGTCCTTAAAGTTGCTAATGCGATTTCTGAGAAGAGATTTATATTTTGATGACTGAATGCAGACTGAAATGACAGTGAAAATATATATATAAGTATTATAGATATACATGTGTGTAAATAAAGTTATTATTGTTGTTTCACTTTCAGCCACAAGCCTTAAAAAGAATATCACATTTAGGTTGCCTAATAACAGGATGCGATAATCTAGAACAACCGCTACTCCTAATGCAAACAGCTTGCAACAATGTAGGTCTGGAGCTAGGAACAGACATGCACTTAGCAATAAATTGTGCTGCTCATGAATTAATGGATTACGTAAGTTATTTTCAATATCTATTTTGTTCGTTTTTAAAAGGAATGTAGCTATTTGTTAACATTATTTTTTACTACATTGCAAACTTACCTAGAAGCTTCTAACTCCATTTTTGAAGGTAGCAATCAAGCAAACCAAAAGAATTGTCTCTGCATTTATAAATGATGGTTGAATCGGTCCTACAAGCGTAGCAGATATGGTATTGGATTGTGAGTGCAAGGGGACGAGACATGCAGACATCCTTCTGGTAGCTTGATGCTACCAGTGGGGGCAGTGAGAATGCATGTATTCCTCCTCCGCAGCTGTACCAGCATACTGGTGGTGCACCTTGCGTGGAATAAGGCTCACTGGACCAAGGCAGACCCCCATTACAGCTTGTGTCCTGCCTACAGGAATCTCTGTTACTTTCATGATTTAACTTTAACCATTCAAATGGTATAAGCCTGCCTGCATCAGCCAGGTTTATTCCTTTTCTCTGTTTATTTATTTAATAAGATTTTTGAGTTCAGTCTGTGTCAAATATAGCAAACTGTTTTAATGGGCAAACACCTACTACGTGCTCTTAACAAACCATCTTCATTTCATGTTACATCTCAGACAATTTTGAATTAAAGTATTAAGCAGCAAATCCTGGTGGGGTTTTTTTTTTCATTTCACCACAAGGTATAAATGAAGTCATTATCTTCTGTCCACCTTGCTTTCAAGGATGAAGAACAAGAAATTATTTGCACAAGTATACTTCTGTAAAATTCCTTCACACTACTAGATGCTTATTTCTGCATTTTATTACACTACATCTGTTGTTTTCTTCAAACTACCTTGACCTTTCTGTGCATTTTTACTATGGTATGTGTGTTTACCCACTAACGTTCATCTCATTGTGTATCAACATTTATTTTTTAATTCTTATTTTTCAAGATTTGTATTTGACAAAGTTTGTTTATCTCCAGCTGAAGTCTTAAAAAGTTCTTGCCCCTTGTTCCAAGACCAATCAGGTTTCTCTCTAAGCAGAAAAAGAAACATCCTGTTCCATTTAATATGTCATGAGATTTTGTGTATTTGGGTGTACTATAGTGACAAATCTTCCATTATTAATATCTTCTGCGAAAGCGGTTGCTTTCCTTACAGTTTGTGATATCTGCATCCTATACCAGAATGAGCAAAATCTTAACCAATGAATTATCAGTAATTCTGTAACTTTCTGTTATTGAACTGTTAAAGTCACTAAAGCAGTGGGTATTCTGGCAAAGTTTGACAGTGTGCCCTTAATAATCCTCGTACGCTGCAGTTTGTGCTTCCCATAATGATGAGACTAGACTTTTTTTTGAAAGGGGAAAGAGGCAAGGAAAGGCAGTATCTTGTTTTTGAGCACTGAGGGTGCACTCCTTTCTGCCAGCAATATTTTCTTTATGAAAATGAGGACAAAAAATTAACTTTTTTTGGAAGTGAAAAGTGACATTTTTCATGCAAGGTTTAATAAAAATGTCAAATACGGCTACCTTTATGATAAAGTTGTGTAAAACTGGCAGTGTTGCCTAGAAAATGCTGAAATAGATCTCCCTTGTTTTGGGAGCAGTATCTTTCAGAGACTTTGGCATGAGCCCACTGGAACTCACTGTTACTTTAGGCAGAGTTTTCTATAACAATGTGCCGACCACATAGACATATAGACATAGAGTAAAGCAGACAAGTGATTGTGTCCTTACTGAAGAACAGACAATCCACTGCCTTAATAGAGATACTACTGTCACAAGATCTGTATGCTTATGTTAGTACTCTGGTTTTTAAAGTATTACCTTCCTTATCTTTTATGCTTTTTACTTTACTTTCTAGGTTAAAGGAAAATATGAAATACTCACTGGAACATTCAAAAGACCTGATGAAATGGTTGACATGTATGTGGAACTGATTAATAAATTTCCTTTTATTATTGCATTAATAGATCCCTTAAGAAAAGAGGTAAGATACCAGAGTGCAGTCCTTGAAAAACTGATAAAACTGTTAAGTGGCATATCACTGAACTTTTCACATTTTTACAAAACATAAAATACAAAGCTTCTGTTTTCAGAGTCTTTAGGCACAAAAATATCACTATAAAAATGTATGTAACCATTCATTTGCACATCTGTAATTGACAATAACTCTAAATTTTTCTATACTTTTGACATAATTCCTGACAGAAAATAATCCTGGCATGAACAGAATATGGTCAGTGCAAGTATTTTAAAGAATTACAAGAAAATTTTTTTTTTTTCTGATTCTACTCGCTAAACCACTGTAATTTTTATTACATTTTCCTTTTTATGTAAACAAATAATTCAAATTATAAAATCTAATTATAAAATTCAAGTGATATATAAATGATATTATATTATATGGGAGAAGCTAAAAATTTGGACATAGTTGTATATTCCTTATAATCACTCAAAAAAAATTATTGCTGCTATTCTTTATGATTGAGATTTATACCCAAAGCCAGAACAAACCTGTCACTGACAGCATTGCTTGGCAGAATTTTTAAAGCTGTAGTAAGATACCATGTATTTACCACTGTGATCAAAGTTAGAGGAGTTAATTTAGTGCAGCCAATAGATTACAGCAATAAAGTAGAATACTATTAAGCATGTTATCAAGTTACAGATGGATGAAAGAAACAGATTAAATATTAGCATTTATATATTACAAAAAAGATAAAACTTAATTGTAGTAGAACCAACAATTGTAGACCTAGATTCTGCAGTTGCACAACTTAATAAAAATTTGCTCTTGCTGTCAAATCGCACACTTTATCTTCTTTAAAATAAACGTATGGGGTTTATTTTCATGAACAAAACATGAAGACTGTGATTGAAGGGAGAAGCAAAGTGATGTCTGTGAATCTGCCCAGTGCCTGAATCAATAATTCTAAAACAGATGAACTGCAAAATCCATCTGATTTTGTTCTTATCTGGAACTTTAAAAGTTCATTTTTCGAATATCTGTGTTTACTGTTACCTCACTCTAGTTAGCCTCGGCTCCCTGCACCCTTTCAGTCTGACTCTGAATTACCCATGTTCCAAAACACCAGATTATTCCCCACTCCTGCCAGGGCTGCAAACTTCCTTGAGAATTCTTGTGAAGAAACATATTTGCAATATGAAAATCTGCCGGAGAATTACAACAGATAGTGAAGTACAGTTTGAAATAGAATACTGTTCAGGGACATGCCTCTCCTCCTCCCCCCTCGCAAATCTACAAAGTTTACCCATGCCACATCTTTGCCTCAGATAATTAGGTCCTTGAGGATTAGCTCTGGTACCAATTCAACAATTCATTGCCAGACAGCAGACCACTTTAGTGCTTAAGTTTAAACATTTGTTCAGGTGTCAAAAACTTCATTTTCACTTACATGTGGGCTTGAAATCCTTACAGGAATGGACCCTTATACAGATTGCAACTATATAGGTAAAAAAAGCTTGTGTGATCCGCAGACCAAGAATTATTACTGGCAGAATTATTAACTAAAAAAGCAATGTTTTTAATGTGAAAACTTTGTATTCTGTGGACACAAAGCAAATTAATTCATTAATTTCTTCTCTCAAATTATTTATATATCCTTGACCTTTATTTATCCTTAAATCTCAGTACGATGTGGACAATGCATTAAAATCAAGAAACAAAGACCCTAAAAAAATGGAGCTTTGCTGGAAAGAGAGCGTTGTATTCTGCTGTTCCTTATGGGTCAGTCTTACAGCTCTGAACATCCTGTCTTGATACGTGTCATTGAGTCTATGACTGCCTCCTGTTTCATTATGCAGACAAATATTGTGACACTTAAAATATTAACACAAGAATGAGTCCTCTGAAGAAAACAATAGAAAATTATTTTATATGCCATTAAAACTAAATAAATCTCAGGAAGGGAATCAAAATAGCAAACTCCTACAGTTAATTTCATTTGAAATATTTTAAACTATACTTATGTGCAACTAGCTTTGATTAATTCCAGATTAGAATTTGCGTCTTCTAGCAAAATCTTGAAATCCCAGCAAAATTCTGGTGGTATGTTTTTCTTAGGTAGACAGATTTAAAATACAGTATAAAATATAATATGTTTATATGAAGGGTACCTTTAAGATTAAATCAAAATTTTTAATTTTTTTTTTTTTTTTTAATTTTTACCTCCTCTATTAGGGTTTTCATTCAGTTTAGTTTTTTGAACTCCAGTTATTTACTTGATTGTTTATGCAGGACAGACAACAATGGAATCACATATGTTGTGCTCTTGGTTCCAAGTGTTACCTGATTGCTGAAGATGCTGCCACGTATATTTCCAAACTTAAAATTGACCAAAACATAAACATACCAACATGCAGTGGTGTTGTCCTAAAATACATTAACCAAACCAGGGTATCAGACCTCATAGAACTTACTGGACTTCTAGACGGTGAGTAGAGGGGGAAAAAGGCTGACTTTCAAACCCTACAAGTCAATAAATAGTGTTGCTACATCTGTAAATATTACATCTTTTTATGTAATTATTGCCATTTCTAATTTAGGAAGCGCTTGTCAGAAGAAGCTAAAATCCATGTTTTGATTCACATATCTCTGTTCAGGAGCTGAAAACAGCATTCAAGGCTTCAACTATAGTAAATTAATACACTGTGGATGCTTTGAGTGTGGGTGCCCTTTGACACTGCAGCTAAGTGTCATACAGTTAGCTATCAGAATTAAACAAAATAAAAAAAGACGTAGTTGACTAATCTGAATTTTGACTAATACTAGTATTAATAATTAAGAAATCCAAACAAGTCCAGAATGTTTAAAATTGCAGTTTACATAGATTATTGACTATACATTATAGAGCTTTTGTGGTAACAGTGCTAAGAACCTGTGCAGTTTCATATGTAAGATTTGTCTTTGCATCAATTTTTCTTTATTCATTTTTATACCCAAGGAATAGATGGACAAATTTAATATATCTAAGTTCCTTCCTTATTCCTTCAAAAAGCCCAGAATCGCTATATCAAAGTGAGTAAATAGCAACTTAAAGATTTCATTCAGTCATGATGGTAAACTCTTTATAGTGAAGAAAAATCATTACTATAGTAAGGAGCACATTTAAAATAAATAGAACAGCCTCCTAGCCTGTAGAATACATTACCAGACAGATCAGCTGGAGACAGAAATTAGGATAGGATGTTAGATAACCCCTTAACCATGCTGACAATAAAACGTAATGTTAATCTAGCAAACTACTATAGTTTACATCCTTATGAGGTGGGTTTCCTTGGTTTTACTCCTGTTTGTATTTAAGCTTAGATAGCCCAAAGGTAAAAAAGAATGAAAAGTCCAAGCAATTTCTGTGTCAAACATACAAAATATACACTAATGAAGGTTTTACACTCCCGTTATATATAGGTCAAAGACATATTACCATATTAGGAAGTCCAGATGGAGAATCTTCTGATGATAGCCTTGTGGATCTGGTAAGTATTGAAAGCTGTTCAATTGCAGAATTGCCAGAACACTGCTTTTAACATGAACTATTTTTTAAGGAGAAAGCCTGTTTCCGCTTGAGAAAGAAACAATGTTTTACAAAATGGGCTTTTTCTAGAGAGTTGCTTTTTTTCCCCACAGAGAGTTATTCTTTTGAGTTTAAAGAGAACACACGGGAAATTTGCCAAAGCAAGGAGTATATTCAAAAGTGTGTATGATCTATTTGGTTGCATTAGTTTATAAAAAAAATGTGAGATACTTAAAACATTTCTAAGTAGTAATAATATTTTAGGCAAAAATTCTTAACGCTAATATATTTAGTCTTTTTGTATTAAAGCTACATTTGCAAATAAAATTTCGTTTCATACACCAGTGAAAATTATTGTTTGCATCCGACAAATCTTTCACTGAGAGATTTTATTTCTATTTAAAGGAAGGCTTTTATCTGTAGAAAGATAAGAGTGTTAAATTAGAAGTAGGATACCATGTTTAATAATTAAGAAGGACTTCACTTCCCGAACCGTCTAGTTTTAAAATACGCACTTTTTCATTTAAGGCTGTTGGACTGGGTGCCAGGTTTATCAAGTTGGGAGGTCTTTCCCGCGGAGAAAGGGTGACCAAATACAACCGCCTTCTTGCTATAGAGGAAGAACTGGCCAAGAATAGAACGCTACGTATGAGCTTCTTTCTTACTTTGTTTTCAGCTTGCAATGAATGCGAGAACAAAGATTGGAGGGAGAATGATTGAAACTGCACCACAGGAGGGAAGCGAAATCAAAAGACTATAACTAAGCGCTGACAAAAAGAAACTAGGATAGCACTTGCCACAATGTATATTGTTGTCCTAATGGATTATCTGTTTACTGAATGTTAAAATAGACCCCTTCTTGAGGAGTAGCCTACATTAAGCTTTTTTCCAGAATTAATTGGTTGGAGTCTTGAAGCCCACGGTGCAAAAGGAACAAAACAAAAACCATGCATATAACACGCCGAAAAGCTGCCAAAACGGAATTTTAGGCCAAATACCCCACCTCCCTCAAGCCCCTAAACATATATTGCTAACAAAACTTCATTTCACAACCCCCTTTTGTGTGTTACGTTTCCAGCAAAATGTGTTTGGAAAGCTACAATTGCACGGGTAAGCACCAAATAAAACCCAAGAAAACCCGAAGTTGACTATGCACATTCAGCCTTAGCCACTTGTATGCATCTGCCTGCATTTCAGGATCTGCATCTTCTTTTTACGCTCTACACTGTTAAATGCTTAACAGTTCATTAGAACCACTTCTCACTTGTTCAGGTATCAATCAAGACAGAATAAAGGCATACAGTCTGAAGGGGAGGCAGAGACACAAGGAGAGGAAGAAAGGAAGGAAAGGGTTTGCAAGAATTTATTATGCCTAAGAAAAAGAAAAATGAAGGAGAATTAAGTCATTTTACCCTCTTGTTTCTAATCATTTGCAATCTTCTATACATAGGACAGCACCACTTGACATGCACACTAGAGAACAAAGTTTTTATTTTAAAAAAATTGTTATTGAAAATATTCTGTTTTCGAAATCTCCCCCTTGCTCATCTATAATGGTTGTAAAAAATAGAAACATAGACCGAAATTCTTTTTTGCTAAGACAGTAGTTTCACAGAATGCATTTTTCAAAAACAAGACAGATAATTATAAAGAGCTGTGAACTTCAACTGCCTCAGCAATATTAATGTATTCCCTATTCAAATGGTATAGTGTAAACAAAGGGCTTGAGTTTGACAAATATTTAAACCTGTATCTCATAAAATGAAATAGCAACAATTCCAGAAGCCGCTAATCGTTTGGCAGAAATAAAATCCGGTAACTAAATCAACAGCAGGGATATATTGAGATAGCATGTCTGAGCTGCATACCAAACTCTTCATTTGGCTGGGCTGCGAGCTACGGAATACACTGGAGAGCTGAGAAGAGAGGACTCTCTAAGTCGCTCATAGCTGGGCAGTGACACTGACCCGTCAGGAGTCCCCCCCAGGAGTGACTGAAGGGGGCACGCAGCTGGGCCCAGGAGCACCGTAACAGCCGGCGCCCTCAGCTCTCCTGCTGCCTTGCCCCCTCTCGCTGCGAGTAATTTGGGTTGCGCAGAAGGCTTTGCCTAAGTGCAGCCCCAATGCCGATGCTGTGTTTTGGCCACCGGATTCACCCGGAAGGCGCCTGTGAACTGCTTGCCAGCTGGATCGGACTGGCCATCCCTTTACTAAAAAGTAACATACACAGCTGAGACATACTCGGTGATGGGGTGGGCACTGTGTACGTGGCAAAACGGAATTAGGTGGTGAGGTTAGGCAAGAAGGGGTGCCACAGAATTGGGAAAAATAGCAGCGAGAAGACAGGTGAGGTGTTAGTTACAGGAGCAACATCTGAACGTGGGCTTACATAAAGTTGTTAAAGGCTGGGGCAGAGAAGAGGCACGGTCAGCTGATGGGAACTTTTGCAAGAGCACCAGTGCAGAGGAAGATGGGTGTTCAAAAAAAGGGCAGCAAGGTGCGATGATTAGTGAAGAAGGGAATGCAATAAATATCCCGGCTCAGGCTGCTGTGCAGCATGCCCTAATCCTGTAACCGAAGTGCAGGGCTGTTGCTCCTTTGTTTCTAAGGATCAGACTTCTAAACGTGTTTAGAGACTCTTGTAAGCATCATGTGGCATTTTAAAAAAGTCTGAGTGCACCAGAGAACATTACAAGAAACCGGATTAGAGCAAACATGAGTTTCTTTTTTCTCTTCTATTTCAGGTGAAGCAAATCTTGAATTTACTGCTTTTGCTGAAGAATCACAGCCAGAAAAACAACTTTCTGATGTACTTCCTCCCCCAAAGCAGGATTCGTTGCCTCCACAGCTCTCTCAGCCAGCCCTGCAGGTTCACAGCCTGCCTGCTCAGCTCCCAGAGAACAGCACACTGACCTAGGTTGTCAACATTAACTTTTGGATAAATTTCTGAAAAAAACATTCTAGTAAGAAACTCATATATTAACTATTCCTTAATCCATTTATTTTCAAGCACTTTGGCTAAACACTTTTAAAAGCATTCAGATACTAGCTTCTCTTTTCCCAGGAGACCATTGCTTTCAGCTGAAACCAAGTTAACTGAGCAGTGGCTATAGTTTGAAAATACCACAAAATTCTGTGCTGTATTTACAAACTGACAAAACAAATACCTCTGTGTTAAGTCCAAAACTAAACGTTTGTTTTGGGAAAGTGGAAATCTCTCTCCATACAAAGAGCAAGCTATTGACAAAGAGTAAAAAAAAAAAAAAAAAATTACAAAAAAAAAAGGCCTTGACTGTTACGCTGCTCCATCCCCCGCCCGCACCCTCAATGCTGCTCTTAGATCTAGCCTACAAGGGAAATTTTGCTCCAGTTCTAGCTAGCTAGCAATACAAGTGCATCAGCGCAAACCCCAAATGTAGGGCACAAAGCCGTCACTGGCATCGCTAGGAGGCTTGCTTCAGTCGGAGGCAGGGAATAACAAGTCAATTTCACAAGGTCTGGGAAACTTGTCAGGAGTCTTTTTAATAAGCAACAGTGAAAAGATAAATAAATAATTTATGTCCTAGGTAACAAACAGTTTAAGTAAAAGACATACTTCTTAAAAACCTTCTGGGGTTTGTATAATTTGAACATATAATACAGCAGCAATAATTTGAGGAAAAATACATATATAAAACATTGCATTTTAATTCAGTGTAACAGATACCCAAGTGAAAAATTAACCACCAGAACCAACCGCCCCCCCCAGAAATGAAGATATCGATGAGAGACAAATTTCCCCAAGTTTAGGAATTATATGTAGTTCAGTAATTGGATCAAGTCCAAGATTTTCTTAGCAAACATGCAAAAAACACCAAAAAGGATGTGAAACCAGCACACTCGTTACTATCACTTTATTTTTAGGAAAAGCACCAGACAGTTGCATGCAGAGCCAAACCAACAAACTCAGAACATTCATCCTTCAATACTATCACTGTTTCAAATCATTAAATAGAAAATAATCCAAGTGCATTCAAGTACTTGACCACCCAATTTCAGTTACACCGATCTTTAGGTAAATCCCTGATTACATTTGTTGGTTCATTATAAAAGAATGAGATACTGTGTTGAATTTAAGAAGAGACTACAATGGAATGTGAATTGGCAGTGGAGCAAATCAATTGTGTACCTATTTCACTGTCTTCATAGGAAATAAGGGCTGAGGGACACTGGGATTTCTGTCATCAAATAGAGACATCTAAAGTGTTATCTAATAAAGAAATTAATGCCACCGGTGTGTAGCAGGTTCAAAGCAAAGCCTTATTTGTTAGTGTGGTGAGGTTTCAGCTGGAAGTGCTCAAAATGTTGATTCCAAATAACTTGCAATCCTCGAATGACTGAATCCCAAAGGTACTCAGTACTCACGGGAGCCTAGGGTAGCTTATTTTTTGCAGCAGCAAATACAGACTGCTGCTGCAGCAGTTCCAAACTTTGCTATGCAACATTGAAACAAAAACCAGGAGGTACATCCTCCTTTGAAAAACTTTTCATCCACATGAGAGCACCAATCTCAACCCACGAACTTCTGACTTTGGCCATCGTTACCAAAACTCTTGGTACCAAAATGACATGCTGCACTGCCTCTGCTTTTCAGTCTTTGGGCTAGCTGTCCACTGGGGAATCTGAAACGGAAGTGTTACGCTTGTGCTTTTAATTTCCTCAAAAGAGCGTGTGTGGAGACAGCAGAACGGAGACCTACAAGATCTTGGTTTAAGTAGATATCAAAATATTTTTAAAGCAATGTGTCTAAAACCTCATTTTTTAATTATTAGTAATAGCCCCCATACTAAAGCTGATGTGTGTGTAATCACCTTCATCGGGTCTAACCCAAACCTGTCCAGTTCAAGGGGGATGCAAGGGGCTTCCGGCAAGCTTTAGAATGGACCTTTAACAAGGTACCTTCTCAACAAAAGAATAACTAAAAAAGCCTTTTCAAATACAGTTTTAAAGAAAAGGTAACTGACAATAGCTAAGAAAATACTAACCCTACCTGGGAAATTAAAATGGGAAAGGGATTTTGAGTGATACATAGTTATTTAACACTTTAATGCATGTAACAAAACTGCATACGAAAGACCATTTCAATCTATTATCGAAAATGGTTTGGAGTACGGACAGTAGCCCCTAGTAACACACCTAAGCAATTTACATGTCCAGATAAGGATTCCCGAAAGTTACAGCCTTTCAGAATAGCAATTAGCAGTTAGAACTGTCTGTTTCTTTTATTTTCTCAGCATTCGTTTCTTTATGCGGCGGCTTGCTTTTTTGTTCTTTGATTTTGTTCTGATTCAGCGTGTTTTCAGACGTCTGATCCCCGCTGGTGGAAACAGGATCTAAAACTACAATGGATTCTGTCTCTTTTTCACTGCTAGAAGCTTTTCTTGTAAATTCCGTTTGACTAGTTGATCTAAAGGAAAAAGAATAAATACATGAATACAGATAAGAGTTCACATATTTAGGAGAAAGAATATAAATACACGGAAAAGCATTGCTATTATTAGTAGCACGTATAACCAGGACGGGACTACTAAACTAGTGAAGAGATTTCTAGATTTACAGCTGTTACATACAGATCGTAGTTCACAAAATGCAGCAGTCACATTACCTCTCCTGGATCATCTGTTAAGCTAGCAATGGAAGATATTTAACAGAAAAAACAAACTTATAAAGCACTGAAAAAATCCCTAGACTATGAAAGAATCAGTTTAAAGTCTTAAGAATTTATTTTCTCTCTGCTCATCTCGGAGCTGGATTTAGGTTCCCCCATGTCCAACAGGGCAGCTGCACCCAGAGAAAACGCTACCGGTTCCCGTAGCCTGGAGGCTAATAGTCCTGCGGCCTGAAAGGAGAACGTGGCTTCTTCTCCACACCTGCATCCCAGAGCAGCTTGCACAGGGCTTTCACTGTACTACACTCTACCGTATGACAGGGAGGTAGAGGCAGTGTAACCAGATTTTCCGCCGTGGCTCAGCACCAAGAGGCTGCTAGTGGTCTGACTGGGAGCAAGTGCAAATGATTTCTGAAAATTCACCGACTGGATTTGCTGAAATACAGAGGGCGTTAGACCTACATCTTGTACTGCAGAAATGGGGTTACGTCTTGATTGCTTGCAGCGCAGGGATTCTTGCGGGTAAAAAGCCCTCTGAGCGGGGAGAGAGGAAGGAAAGGTCAGAGACACCAGGGTTATTTGTCGAGGCTGGCATCGTGCTATAAACACTAAAAGCACTTGTCTATATTCAAAAGCTTTGTACTAGTGTTGAAAACGTGCAGGAAAATCCTTAGATTAGCTAGAACGCACCAGCAGAGAGCAAAGCAAACGCTGGGAAAGCACGACCTGAACAAGTGGCAGATCCTATGCCATCTTAACGCTGCTGTATGGGCAGGCAGGCAGCTTACAAGCATGGGTTTATACCTCCTCCACCGTCCTTCCCAGAGCCTGTTGGCCCTGTGCGCCTGAGGGCATGTAACCAGGTATGCTTAGAGAGGGCAGTCACACGCACGTACTCCGCCCACCTTTAGGCAGGGCCTTACACAGTGGTATGAACACCGTATAGACGTCCGCACCGATACAGCTACAACCACCAAACTGGACAGGTGCAAAAATCCTTAGTGCCGGAAGGTCCTGCGTGCACCAGTGGGCGTGCGGCCCCGCGCTCCCGGGAAGCCTAACTGTAGAGCTGCTGAATGCAACTGCATTTGCTAGTCCAGAGCCTTCTTTTTATTTTATTGTTGGTTTTTTTTTTTTTTAATTTTTTCATGCTTACTCATAAAGGAACGGCCTTCCGTACTGCTAAGATAACACCCTTGAAAGGAAAAAGTAGAATCAACCGGAGGCCAGAGAAAGAAATTCAGCTACTGGATCCGCCTGCTCTCAACTGCCTTTTATTGTGACAGTCTTTGTCCTAGAGAAAATAACAAGGAAAAAAGAGGTCACCTCACTCAACAATTAAGAGCGTGGGGCGGAGAAGGTACTGGCTCCCACCTGACGGGGAGAGAGTAAATGTACAGGTCAAACACAAATAAATAATCACAGAAACAACAGTTGTTGCACTTTCTATTTCAGAAAGAATTCGCTCAGCTTGCTACTGAAGCGCTGGATATAGCGAATGAAATTCCATGTTCAAGCTTTAATTACAAGAATTGTCTCTAACATTAGAACTTCGGTATAAGTTAATTAATGCAGAAATTGGCGCTAATAGATACAGTTTCAGACTCATTTGATTATCATCAGAAGCTAGTGATTTCATAAGGAAAATAATGCTTATTTTATGCAAAAGTTGCCAATCATTCCAGAAAATACGAGGTGCGGTATTTTGAATGTTACAGCAAATTAAACTTTTTAAAGCAGCGTAACCAGAAGAGGGTTATTTTAAAAAGTGCTACCTCTGAAAAGCTGATTGCCCAACCCTATAAAAATGGTCAAAGCCATAAATGCCAAGTTCATTTTTATTTCGCTTTGGAGGTAACTATCTTTCAAATCCCAACAGCTGGACTATTTAATACAATCTGGTGAATCAAAGTATAATTCTTCACTGGGCTCACAGTGGGGAGTCTGCATTAGTGTATGGCAGCATTCCAACAACTGATGCACAGCCAAACGCTCTGAAGTCTGTTTCATTTATAACAAAAATGGATAAAACGGCAATCATATTTACCACCTTCAAAGGACAGAAAAATGAAAGATGTCGATATAAAGTAGTTTAATGGAGAAAACCAGTGATTAAATCAGTGTTTCAAGCATAAAAATAAGAATTACTATTCAGACTTTGTTGTACTAGCATTCCCTTCTTCAAATCCTTTACACTGTTTGCAGCACCAGCCTGACAGCGCTGCTGTTACAGCTGAGGTATTGTTAAAAATTATTAACCCTATTTATCA